CAGCAGTGAAGGAGGGTCCCTTTTTCGCCACATCTGCGCCAGCACCGGTTGCTTTTGTTCTTGTGGATGTGGGCCAGTCTCTGTGGTGTGAAATGATATCTCATTGTTGTTTTGATCTGCATCTCTCTGATGATTAGTGATGTAGAGCATTTTCTCATGTGCCTTTTTGCCATTCAGATTTCTTCTTTGCTAAAGTTTCTGTTCATTTCCTTGCCCCATTTTTTGGATGGGGTTGGGTGCTTTCTTCTTGTGGAGTTCAACCAGTACCTTGTATATCCTTGATTCAATTTGAATTTTTTTGAAAATTTGATTTCCTGCCAATTTTTTTCTTTTTTCCAGTTTTTTTTTTATTGAGGAAATCTTGGTTTACAAATGTTTATATGCTTTAGAAGTACAGTGCTGCCGCACCACACTCACCGCCAAAATGCCCACATTCCCCCACCACTGTCCAGAGGACTCAGCCCATCCCCCGCTCTGGTGGTCTTAGTCATGTAGTTAGAGTCAGGGTTTTTATTTTTCTTGGACACTGCCTATTTCCTTACCTTCTTTATTCTTTTTTAAAAAAAAGTTAGAATTTTGTTCACTTATTTGTAAGTGTTATTGCTTACGGTTCTGTTGATCATTTAATGAGTATAGTTAAAGTGTCTACAGACCCTCCACCCACTTCCCCCATTACTTCCACTCTGCCTCCTTAACTCTCATTCCCTGTCTCACTTCATATCTTAGTGCTGTAGGCCAGGTTGGGTATTTGATATTATTGATTTCCCTTGTTTTGTTTCTCTGCATATACTACAGATGAGTGAGTGCACATGATATTTTTCCTCTCTCTCTGATTAACATGATATTCCTCCAATTTCTTTGAAGTTGCCATGAATGGTGTGATTTTATCTTTTCTTACAGTTGTATAATGTTCTATTGTATATAGAAATAATTTTTTATTATATATAATATATATGCATTGCATATTCATGTTTTGTATATATATATTTGTGCATTATATTATTTATCCTTTGTCACATATTGGGTTGTTTCCATTCTCTGGCTATTGTCCTAAGGGCTGCAGTGAACGTGGGTAAGATAAGTATTTATCTTTCCAAAATGGTATTTTGTATTTTGGGGGATAATTGCCAAGTGAAATTGCTGGATCATAAGGAAGCTTTGTTTCACTTTTTTTTTTTCTTTTTTGTGTCACAACCGGCGATGCTCAGGGACTACTCCTGGCTCTGCACTCAGGGATCATTCCTGGCAGTGCTTTGGGGACCATATGGGATGCTGGGAATCGAACCCTGGTTGGCCACGTGCATGGCAAACACCCTACCCACTGTGTTATCACCCCAGCTCCTGTTTCATCTTTTTGAGAAGTCACCATATTGTTTCCTATAGGGATCAACTAATCTTTATTTTTTTAATATAAATAAGCTAGACCTTTTGAAAGAATTTTTGTGTGTATCAAGCCAATTTGGTTCACTTCAGTGTGCTAACTACTATTACTATCTATAAACTACTGTTTTTCAGGTTTATTGCTAAGGACACAAAGACGAGTTGAAAGTTCTACTTGTCCTTAGGAAATTTTTGCCTAATTGAGATGAAAATATATATATATACATATACATACATACATATTAATTTATATGTATGCATTGGGGGTGTTTATTAGCAGTAGAACACTTGACTTGCATGTGTGAATGTGTGAAGTGCGGGATTCACTTCTTGATCTGCAAAAATTGCACATAACTAATTTTCCATATGGAACTTTGTGTTGCCTGGTGCGGCCTCAGTTTTATAAAATGTATTTAGAAGAGGTACTGAAAATAAGGGACAAAAGAAACTAAGAAAGTAATAGAAGAGTGAAAACGGATGATGAGAGTCAGTACAAAAATTTCCAGTCTAGAATGTAGATAATTAAATTTAGCAGTCTAGAGAGAGCTCAGTGAATGACAGGGTACCTGCCCAGTATATACTCTTAAGTATATATACTGTAAGTTTATACTGCAAATATAAATCACACTAGATAGGCTTCAGAAATCAAAGACACAAGAAATGTCAGGATGTTGGGTTGCAGAAGGAACTAAAAGCAGGCCACTTAGTACAAGTCTCTGTGGGAAAGCAGTTAGTTGACAGGATCTTCCTCTTTCCCTGTCTTTACCTGGCAGTTCCCCTTTTCACCCTCTGTAGAGATGGAGGTTCATGTACGCAGCAGTGTGAAGCCAAACTGCCTAGCCCACACAAGGAAGGTGAAGAAATGTTTGTGTGCTGAGTAGTGAGGCCAGTGTCATACATGCCTGAGTGCTTGAGTTCCTCACTGGAAACGTCTGCCTGGTTTCTATACTGTCTAGGTTTGGTTTACTATAAAAGCACATTTCCCAAATCAAGCAGACTGGAGAGAGAAGACAGGGGTTACCTTGTACGTGGCCAACCCCAGTTTTGGTCCCTGGCAGCCCACATAGACCCTTGAACACTGTGAGGAGTAACCCTTCAGCAAAAGATCTAGGAGTGGTTCCTGAGCAATACTGGGTATGGCCTTCTAGTTTTGTTAATTTTTTTGGACGGGGTTACACCCAGCTGTGCTCATTGCTTACTAGTGTCTCTGCTCAGGGATTACTTCTGGCAGTGAATGGGAAACCATATAAGATGCTGGGGATGAAATAAGGGTTTGCTGCATACAGGACAAGCACCTTAATCCCTGTACTATCTCTCTGGTTCCCCTCAACTTTTTTAAAAGTTTTTAAACCAGATCGTTTTAACTTTTTGTTTGGTTTTTGGGCCACACCCAGTGATGCTCAGGGGTTACTCCTTGCACTATGATCAGTGATCACTCCTGGCGATGCTCAGGAGACTATATGAGATGCTGGGGATTGAACCCAGGTTGGCTGCTTATAAGGCAAATGGTCTACCTATTGTTTCATCTCTCTGGCCTCTAACCAAATCTTTAAAAGGAAAAGTAGTATCTTACTTGTGCTTTAGTATATGACCTTTATATACGATTGCTTTTGCATACCTCAAAGAAGCGACATTCAGGGTTATTTACAATATTGAATCTGTCTTTATTTTTAATTATTTCTCCCCATATGCCAAGTGCTTTATTCATACTGGGCGACTCAGCTAGTATATTAGGTTCTGTGCATTTTCCAACCATGTCTCCAGATCACTGTTCCTTTTTTTTTTTTTCACCGTTTCTTTTTTGTTGTTTTTTTCCTGATTTTTGGAAAGTGCTGGCAGTTCTCAGGGATTACTCCTGACAGTGCACTCAGGGATCACTCCTGACAAGACTTGGGGTGCTAGGGATTGAATCCTGGTGAGTTGCATGCAAGGCAAGAATATTACCCTGGTATTATCTCTCCAGTCCTTTATATATCACCTTTCAAAGAGACATCGTGCAGGGACTGCTCCTGGCTCTGTGTTCAGGGGTCACTCCTGACAGTGTTTGGGATACATTTTGCAGTACTGCAAATGGAACTAGGATAAGCATGGCAAGCAGCTTAGCCCCTGTACTGTCTCTCCAGTCCATACCCACCAATTTATGTATGTATGTATGTATGTATGTATGTATGTATTGGCTTTTTGGGTCATATCCAGTGATCCTCAGGGCTTATTTCTGGCTCTGCACTCATGAATTACTTATAGAGGGGTTCAGGTGACCACATGGGATGCTGGGAATAGAATCCAGGTCAGCCGTGTGCAAGACAAATGTTCTCCCCTCTGTGCTCTGGTGCCCCACCAGTCACTTTAAAGGTCAGTCACTTTAAAGGTCAGTGTTGGAGCTGTGCAAGATATGGTCTTAGATATTGTAAGGGAGTAGTGAGAACAAATACATAACATTCTTATCCTCAAAGACTTAGAGTTCATTAAAATATGGGCCAGAAAGAATACAGGTAAGTTGCTTGCATTGTATGTGACTAACCTCTGTTTGATATCTGGCACCCCTGTGTTCCCCCAAGCACCACCACCCTTTACACCAAGAGTAGCTCTTGATTTAATCCTGGTTTAATCCCCACCCCCTCAAAAGAAGAGAGCACAAGTATATAAGAAGCAATGTGAATTCCAGTGCACTAGATCAGAAATGGCATATACTAACTATACAGTAGCAATTAAAACTAGTCTTCAAGAATCACTGAGGTTGGGAGGTAGAGCTAGTTAAAACTCAGCTTGTAATAGAGGCAAGTGGTTTTCAGCCACTTGTTTGAGAAATGCTCGGGGTCCACATGTGTAGAATGGTGGGATGAGGATAGTATAGTGTACCCCAGAGCTTTTGTGTGAAGGGGTTTATGTGATGCTGCTTGGGCCAATGACTCCCACACCCCCATGTCACTCAGGGTGAGTACCCAGGGCAGACACGCATTCCAGCCCTTTAACTTTCTCCCCAACCTTCTAAGCTTCTTTTCTTATTCTGGTTTGCTGCATGATTTCATAGGTAGTTATATGAAATTTCGGAATGTTGGGGTTCAACAGTGCAGCAGGGTGCAACATACTCTACATGTTGGAGCCCCAGATTCGGTTGCTGCATTGCACAGATCCCTGAGTACCACCAGGAGTGACCCCTGAGCACCGTAGAATGTGACCCAAAATTCCCAGAAGAAAACCTTCTTATATGTATGAGGGAAAAAGTTTCTTTTTCCCTTTGTGAATTGTTCTCATGTCTAAATTAAACTCTCAAATTCTCATATTATTCTTTTTTTTATTTGAGAGGCCACACATGTCTGTGCTTCAGGGCTTTCTCCTGGCAATACTTTGGGGGAACCATACATGGTGCTAGGGTTTGAACCAGGGTTGGCCATGAGCATGGCAAGCTCATTACCCCTTGTACTATATCGCTGGCCCACAAACTGTTTTTGTTCTCTATGCTGGGTCTCATTGTCTGTTGAGGTTTCACTTATAAATATAAAGAAATGATTCATATATTTATGTAAAATGGTATTGGGGCTGACCCTTAAAGTTTTTTTTTTCTTTCCCTTCCCTAGAGTAAATGTCACTAAAACTTTTACATTCTGCTTTTCCCCTAGGTAAAAATCTCTACACCAATGAATATGTAGCTATCAAACTGGTGAGTAGACTCTATATTTGTGGTGATTATGTTTTGGTGCTCTCACCTTTCACATATCTTTTTACAGGAATTGCAAAAACACTTATGTTGTGGATATTTCTTGCGGCTGATCCTCAGTAGTAATTTTCAACATCTATAGTTTTACAAGGATGAACTCCTGATATTAAGTATATTTAAGAAATAATGAATTAGGGACTGGAGTAATTGACAGCACGTAAGGTGCTTGCCTTGTACATAGTGACCTGGATGTGATCCCTCACACCCATATGGTACCATATGGTACCCAAAACACTGCCAGGAGTAACCCCTGAGCATTACTGGATATGGCCAAAACTGGTCACGGTCCTCCCGTTGTTCATCGATTTGCTCGAGCGGGCCCAGTAACATCTCTATCATGAGACTTGTTGTTACTGTGTTTTGGCATATCGAATACATCACGGGTAGCTTGCCAGGCTCTGCCGTGCGGGCGAAATACTCTCGGTAGCTTGCCGGGCTCTCCGAGAGGGGTGGAGGAATCGAACTCAGGTTGGCCTTGTTGGCCACTTGTAAGGCAAACGCCCTACCACTGTGCTATCGCTCCAGCCATGGCCAAAACCAAAAAAAAAAAAAAAAGATGAATTAAAAAATGGATAATAAAAATGAGCTGGGAGAAAAAATTGCTGGGATACTAGTAATTTTTGTAAATGCTCTTTGACACGATGTTTTGATGAAATTATTAGAAAAATATTTAATTTTTAAGAACTTTTGTTACCAGTAGCACTCAGACCTCTGCAAAATCTTAGCACACTGAAGGTTGTGAGTTCGCGGGCTCTCTGGATGGTTCTATCTTACTGCCCACGTTCGGTGCTCTTGAGCTGCTGTGTGTGGCCTGGATCAGGACAGCTGTTGGCCAGGGGCAGATGAAGGAAGAAACAAGAGCCAGGCTGGCTGGTCTTGGTTGCAGTTTATTCCAATCCTCTTCACTCCTGTCTCTCCTCTGCCTCCTTTTCTCCTGGGCCTCAATCTGGAACCCTTTCTCCTTCTGGCTCTGAATCTGGATCTCTGTAGCCCGAACCCTCTCACTTCTGACTCTCCACTTCCAAGCTTACAGTCTTAGTTTATATAGCAATCACATAGGGTGGTGACACAAAGTTAGGTTGAACATTAACAAATCAACAAAGAGAGGTAAGACCACTCCTTAAGGAGATTAACTCAAGGATAAAATCTAGAGATTACTCCAGATTACTAGGAGATCTGCTCAAGGGTGGGATCCCAATGAGGGTGTGTTCTTTCCTCAGCTAGTAATCTACTTAAATAGTTATAGTAAATCTACTTCTAATATATCTAGCAATGTCATTCTGTCTGAGAACAGTAAGATATAAACTTACAGTTTGGTTTTTCCTGAGGACATCTCACTATATATTCCTCAGTCCTTCAGGTCAGGTTAGTCTTCCTAGCCCCAGCAGGGTCCTAGTCTCGTTGTTACTTACTTTTGGATCATGACATCATTTGTCCATGATCATGTCCTCAACTTACAGTTGAGTATTGTGGCGCTTTGGCCTGGCCCATTTTGATGCCAGGGTAGCTCACAGCTTGCCCTGGGACCATTCAGTCCCTCGTCGGGACCCTGCTTTTGGGGTGCTAGGAACTAAGGGCAACTGAGTGAAGAAAGCAGATGCCCAGGAGTAAATACTATTTGGAGTCAATCAACTCCCAAGTTACAAAGCATAATATTAACTGTCTTCCTGTGTCTATACAGAAAAGACATTGCTTTAAGGTAAACTATTCAAAAGACATAACTTACAATACAAGTTCAGTGTCCTTAGATGGATCTGACTTTCCTTACAAATTAACAGAATCTGATTAGGGGAGTAAACTGATTAACTGTTTGGGGAAAAGAGCATAGAGAAGTAGTTACAAATAAACAAAAGAGTGGGAGCACTGGGATGGGTGTGACCTGATAAACCTAAGCTACCTGAGGAAGGACAAAACAGTGTTATCCTACAGGCTACTCCCGGCTTAGTGCGTCAGTGTTGCTCCTGACAGTGCTGGGGGCCTGTGTGCCTGGGAGAGCGCCTGACTGCCGTGTGCTGAGTAGGCGTCCAGCTCTGAGTAGCTCTTGGATTGAAAGTTTCCTTTTCCTGATTCATTTATTAAAAATACAAGGTATTGTATATACTGTTAATAGTAGGGAATCAAATGTGATAATCTAAACTTTTTAAATTTTTTTATTGAATCACTGTGAGATAGATCGTTAGAAAGCTGCTCATGATTAGATTTCAGTCCTATAATATTCCAACACCCATCCCTCCACCAGTGTACATTTTTCAGCACCAGTTTCTACAGGTTCCCTCCTATCACCTTACGCATCACCCCCTGCCTGCCTCTATGGCAGGTGCTTTTCTTCTCTCTCTCTCTCTCTCTCTCTCTCTCTCTCTCTCTTTCTCATTCTCTCTCTCTCTTTCTCATTCTCTCTCTCTCTTTCTCATTCTCTCTCTTTCACTTTCTCTCTCTCTCTCTCTCCTCCACCCCCTTGGGCATTGTGGTTTGCAATATTAATACTGAAAGGTTATCAAGAATATCCCTTACCTACTTTTTAAATCTTGTCCAGTGTGATCGTTCCCAGCTATTATTTCATAGCGGTCTCTTCCCTATCTTACCTACCCTCAGCCCCACACATACTTGTGGTTAGTTCCAACCATTGACCAGTCCTCCTAACCCCTTTTTTCCCTGGCCATGGATATTAGTCTTCTACTATATATTATTTTTATATACCACAAATGAATGCAGTCATTCTGTATCTGTCCATCTCCTTTTGACTCATTTCACTCAGCATGATACTCTCCATGTCCATCTATTTATAGGCAAACTTCATGAACTTCATTTTTTCCTAACAGCTTCATAGTATTCCATTCTGTAGATGTGCCATAGTTTCTTTATCCATTTGTTTGTTCTTGGGCACTCAGGTTGTTTCCAGATTTTGGCTATGGTGAATACTGCTGCAATAAACAAAGGAGTGCTGATGGTGTTTCTGCTGTATGTTTTTGGGCCCTTAGGGTATATTCCCAGGAGTTGTATTGCTGGGTCAAATGGGATCTCAATTTTTAGTTTTTTGAGGAACATCTATATTGTTTTCCAAAAGGGCTGGACCAGTTGGCTTTCCCACCAACAAGGAGAGTCCCCTTCTCCCCCACATCCATGCCAGCACTGGTTGTCTTGTTCTTCTGGATGTGTACCAGTCTCTGTGGTGTGAGATGATATCTCATTATTGTTTTGATCTGTACCTCCCTGATGATTAGTGAAGAGAGCATTTTTTTCATGTGCCTTTTGACCATTCGAATTTCTTCTTTGAGAAAGTTTCTATTCATTTCATCACCCCATTTTCTGATGGGATTGGATGTTTTTTCTTGTTGAGTGCAACCATTGCCTTGTATATCTTTGATATTAACCCCTTATCAGAAGGGGGGGAAACTTACCAAAAGGCGGGACAAGCACTGTAGCACTATCCTCCCGTTGTTCATCAGTTTGCTTGAGGGCCCAGTAACGTCTCCATTGTGAGACTTGTTGTTACTGTTTTTGGCATATTGATTATGTCACGGGTAGCTTTCCAGGCTTTGCTGTGCGGGCGAGATACTCTCGGTAGCTTGCCGGGCTCTCCGAGAGGGCAGAGGAATTGAACCCAGGTTAGCCAGGCTGGCTGCATGCAAGGCAAACTCCCTACCACTGTGCTATCGCTCCAGCCCATCAGAAGGGTCACGAATCACGAATCACGACCATCCTGTTGTTCGTCGATTGCCTCGAGCAGGCCTCAGTAACGTCTCCTTCGTCCTAGCCCTGAGATTTTTTTTTAAAAAAGTGCCATATTAAAGACTATTTCAGGGTTAGGAGAATGAGACCCATCATTGTTACTGGTATTTGGCATATTGGGTACGCCACGGGGAGTTTGCCAGACTCTGCCGTGTGGACAGGTTACATTCAGTAGCCTGCCAGTTTGTCCAAAGTAGGAATGAGATAATAAATGTCAGAAGGGTATTGGGTGAATATCCTTTTTCATTGCGTAGGTTATCTTTGTATCTTGGTCACTGTTTCTTTTGAGGTGCAGAAGCTTCTTAGTTTAAGATAGTCCCATTTGTTTATCTTTGCTTCCACTTGCTTGGTCAGTGGCACTTCATCTTTGAAGATATCTTTAGCTTCAATATCATGGATGGTTTTGTCGACCTTTTCTTCAATGTACTTTATGGATTCTGGTCTGATGTTGAGGTCTTTAATCTATTTTGATCTGACTTTGGTGCATAGTATTAGATAGAGATCAAGTCCATCTTTTTACATGTAGCTGTTCAGTTTTCCAGCACCGCTTGTTAAAAGAGACTTTCCTTGCTCCATTTCATATTTCTTGCTCCCATATCAAAGATTAATGATCATATATTTGAGGGTTTGTGTAAGGATATTCAACCCTATTCCATTGGTCTGCAGATCTGTTTTTCATTCCAATACCATGCTATTTTAATTTTTATCACTTTGTAGTACCACTTTAATTTTTACCACTTTTGTAGTTTGAAGTTGAGGAAGGTGACGCCTCCCATATTCCCCCCCCCCCCCAAGAATTGCTTTAGCTTTTCATGGGGGCTTATTGTTCCATATGAATTTGAGGAGTACTTGATCAATTTCTTTGAAAAATGTCATGGGTATCTTTATGGGGATCACACTGAATCTACATAATGCTTTGGGCAGTGTTACCATTTTGACAATGTTAATTCTCCCAATCCATGAGTTGGGGAGGTGTTTCCATTTCCTCGTGTCCTCTTTCATTTTTTGAGGTAGCACTTTGTAGATTTCTATGTACAGGTCCTTTACCTCCTTAGTTAAGCTGATTCCGAGGAACTTGATTTTTCTGAGACACGATTGTGAATGGGATTCTAAACATTATTTTTGAAGGCTGTCAAGCATGAATAGGTAGAATATAGTCAGTTTGAAGAAAAAGTTCAATTGGTCCTGTCAGTACTAATCTTCTGACTAGTGAA